GACTTTACTTGTCTCTCTTTACTTGTCATTGTAGCTTGGTGCTGAGTCTGGGAGGACTCACTGACGATGCCAGCGACACGTCTTGGAATGTACCAAGTCCGACGCTGGGAATTATGGTTGCTATATCAGAGGACTGTGTACAGGGTGCGTCCCGCTGTCACCTTGACAGCGCGATCAAGTTGCGAAAACGATGTCAGCCTTGTGATAGTAGTTCGAAAAATCAATCAGTACATTGGAATACATTCAAGCAGATTCTTATTATTTGGCTATGTACCTTTGGATAATATCACAATTAAAAATTAACTTAGATTGATAGACAAGTCACAATACTTATGGATTGGTGTTTCATACTCCATATCTCCTGATTGCATAGAAGCTTATTCATTATGAATGTGAGCAACATGGCCGATTGTAATAGCGAAATACATGTTTGCCTCATCGTCAATCTCACAATTAGCTTAATATGGGATGGACCTGGCTTGTTTAAAAATCTATGTCTTCCTTATGATCTATTGACATTCTTGGCAGTTTAGCGTGATCGCAAAATATCGAAAGTATATTATACATTATCCGGGCTAGATTCTCATTGGGGCTGCTGATGAAACCCAGGCGAAGTCGAAGCCTTAATCTATATTGGATGAAAATATCTTTTGGGAGACAAAGATATAGTAATTGTTAGGCCTCATTATTGTGGAAAAATTCAACATTAGGTGACGGCAGCCCCTAAATAATGTTAGTCAGCTGAGCGAGATCTTTCTCGATCCGATAAAAACATTGAATTAATTATTTAAAGTTTCTCCCCAGAACATTAAAATCGAACCTATGCTTTTTTCACTGGTTTAATCTTCCATTGGACATTGTCATTTGTTAATAAGTTTGTCTACACAATATTGACCGCCTATATCGCAACTAGACATAAATAAGCTACGTTTCCGCTAACCGAACAAGGTAAATATCTAATTATCCCGTAAAATGTCAGCTTTATTGCAAATTGTGTTACCTTTTCTGTTGCCTATTCTCCTTACCACCGTATTCTAATAGGGTGATGCTGCACCTGAAAAGCGCATCAAAGGCAACGAATCTACGTGTGTTGCCTTTAGCACAGGCCCAACCTCCAAATCCAGCGCTATTAGTATCTCTGCTTCAGTGGCTGCCTTATCTGGTAAATACATTGATAGAGCCGCGCAGAGACGTGCTCGCGAACGTAGCATTGCTACAGCCTCTGCTGCGATGGCTGCAGCTCAGACTACCGCTACTTTGGCTAGTCTAGGCCTGGCAAACCCCGAAGAGGTGGCTGCAGCGGCTGCTGCTGCGGCACTGGCATCTTCAGCCACGGGAGGAGCGGTTGGGTAATTTATGTTCTCCCATCTCGTTATTCTGCCATTTATATGATCCAACTGGCCCTACAGTCCATGCCCTAGCTGACATATATCACTGATAAAAATTGTGACAGTGCTGTGCTCATTCGAGGGATCGACCTTATTTATTGATTTAACTGCAAAAGTCGATGATATTTTATAGTGGCGCACTTCACAGCTCTACAATATATATATATATGTGTATGTCCTAAATATGCCGACAGTTTAAAGAATTATTTAAGGATTATTAAGCCTAAGTTAATATAGAAGCTTAAGAATTTCTTCTTAAAATTAGGGCCAAACAAAGAAGTTAAAAATTCCTAGATTAATGCATTTATTTCAGTTTAATGATTCCCAAGACATACTAAAAGTACGCATAAATAGTGTAATATATTATATGGGTTGTATATTTGCTATGAGGTAACTATTCAAAAATTTCCACTTTGTTCACCAAATTACTTGGCATAGAGTATCAAGGAAAGCCTACTCAAAACGAAGTATTTATTTCTTATCTATATACTTTTTTACCATTTTCACATTATACCATATTCTTATTGCTTATCATATTTTGGCAAAATTTGCTGTTGCGACCTTGTCTAGGTTGCCTTAACACCTCCATATTGTGTCAATAGTATTGCGGCAATGTTACCACTCAATTACACACCCACGAGTGATAGTGTATAACAGGGCAGATGCGACATTCAAGGCAGGCCAGGCGTCTTCTAACCCGCACTTATTGTGGGTCGATTGAGATGGCAAATATCTGCTTAATTGACATTCCCATTATAATTGCTACCTCCCGTTTATCCTTTTGCTTCATAGCGAATTGTTTGTCATCTTTAGAGATAATTTGAAAATGGCTATTTTGGAGTGGCGATAGTGGTGGTAATATCTGCATGTATCGGACGGACGTATTTGCAGGTTGCAAGCTGCAAACTCGTCATATGGACAAGTAAAGTTACTCCCTCTTCGAACGTTCTGACGAAACGTTTACACTATCACTTCTTTTTCTGTCCCGGCCATCTATCTACTCCTTACTTTTTTATCCAACACCTGCCCTATCACAACTTCTGATTTGTTTACATTCCAGTCGTCAAAAGGTGTTCCCTTTTTGGCAAATTTAGTGTGGTCTCATCACATCTGTTTATCTTGGCCCACTCTCTTTCAGCTAATCCGACTTAGGCCTCCTTCCTCATAGTCCCGTAGATCCATTTCTTATCTCTCTGGTTAACCGATTTCATTCAATTCCAG